TTATGCATGGGCGGAAGCGATGAAACCCTAGCCATTCTGAATGGCAGCTATTTAAGGGAGACTTTAGGAAACCCTTCGGTAGTCAGATTTTGGGAGTTTGACGACAGACAAGTTTTTTTTCTGAAATTTCAATTCAATTCTGTTCTTCTTATTCATCCTCTGTTCTTTTTCTTTTTAATTTTTAATTATGTTTACCTTAGTCATGCGAAGCTAAGAACCTTTTAATCAACCTAAGGGTAACAGATTCCATGGGTTAGTCTAGAGGATCTGCACTTTGTTTTAATCAGTTTCGTTTACCTTATGAACTCAGATTGATATCGTGGATATTCAATCTGAGGTTCACGATTGTGATTATGGAAATGGATTAATCATCAGATTTGATGATTAGATTGATTGACCCTATGAACTTAAATCAAGCGGGCTGATATTCTACGATTGTATGAGTAGAAGCACCGTATTTGATCAAATGCTAAGTGATCGCTTAGAGGGTTGTCAATTGGAAATAAGGATCCTGATTCAATCGACAACCAATCACGATTCTGATATCTTTTTATCCGAGGAAAGACATCTATGGAACCCTAACCTTAGGTTGGTTAATTTTTAATTACGAATTTTAATTCCAATTTTATATTCTGCCTTTTAAATTATTAAACTGAAATCCAAAACCCCCTTTTATTTTCTGTTTTCAGTAGCGATTTTCACCCAAACAATTTCCTTGAGAGACAACTTAGGGTTTCCACTTTACTGCAAATTTTCTGAACCCTAAATAAAAATAATTTTTAATTTGTGCGAGTTCGACAGCTTGTGTCACTTAGCAATCGTCCATTAACAAGATCACAACATGGGTAAGGTTACCAGGCTTTCAATTGGAGTATGTTAACACCTCTCTCATGAAAAGCGTTGGCAACTGGCTAGGCAAATTCATTCGTCTCGATGCTGCAACAACAAACCTTGTGAGGGGAAAGTTTGCCAGGATTTGCGTGGAGTTGGATCTAAGCCAATCTTTAAAGGTGGAGTATTTAATCGGAGGTAGATATAAACAAGTAGAGTATGTAGGGCTCCATCTCATATGCTAGTCTTATGGAAAGTATGGTCGTAGAGCATAAACATATCCTATGCGGTGAATGTAAATGATTAGGTTGCTGCAAGAGAAGAAAACTCCACTGAAATTATCACTCCTTGTCATTTACAGGAGAACAATAAAATGGAGGGGGATAAACACTCAAGCTTTGGACCTTGGATGGTAGTTTCAAGGGCTAAAAAAGGAAATAATATGCTTAGGAAAGGTGTTAGAGGTTTAGAGAAGGTGTTAAGTGATGGAATAATTAAATCAGATTTCGCTGCTAAAGAAGTTAGCAAAGATGTGGAGGATTCCAATAGTGAATTAAATGTTTCAGAAAACCTTGAGAATGATAGACAATCTGGGAGTGGGTAGAGGGACGTGCTTTTTTCCCTAAATAAGGGAATGAAGGAGGTTAGGAAAAGGTCAGGCTTGTAAAGACTGAAAATGCTTTTAAGTTGGTCTGCAATGACCTTGAGAAGAACCAGGGAAAAAAAGATCTTGTTGCTTCAGATAACATGGAGGTCCTGCAAAAAATTCAATCTTCTCTTGAATCCAGGTTAGCTCAAAATCTTGTCCAATCAGGTGAGGGTCCGTAGCTGATGGCTTTGGACAATTTAAAAGGTGTGAGTGCAGCGAGCTCACAATCTGAAGTTCAAATTTCCAAGGGGGTGACCCTTCAGGCATCATAGAAAATTAGCCAGAGGCATAAGCCTCCTAATCAAAGGCTAAGCCAAAATAAAGATATCTCTAAAAAAGGCAAAGCTGCTAGTTCGCAGCGTGGAACAGGAAAGAAGCTTTCAGGACACATGTCGCAGTTACATGCTCAACCTGCAACATCCCAAAAATCCTTTTAATGTCTGTTCTTTTTTGGAATTGTAGGGGTGCGTCCAAACGCAATCTTGGTCAAACTCTAAAGATGTTGGTAGAAAAACATGCAATTTGTATGGTTGTCTTACCAGAAACTCGTACAGGAAGTGTAAACAACAAAAAATTAATGAGAAAGCTAAAGTTTAATAATGCCTTATTTGGGAAGCAGTTGGCTTTTCTGGTGGTATCTTGGCACTATGGAATTCTAGTCGTGTAAAGTGCAACTTATTGATAAATCAAAGTAGTACATGCACTTGAAGGTCGAGATCAGTGGATTCAAAAATTTCATTTGCACTGCATTTTATAGGAGTCCCAGTAAAGAAGAACGTCATGTAATGTGGGAAGCATTAACCAATTTAGTCAATATGTGAATGGCCCATGGATTTTGGATGGAGACTTTAATGATATTAAAAATGGAGGGGAAAAAAGAGGCACTCGGCCTAATAAAGCTAAATGTGACAGATTTGCTGATTTTCTAGAAAGTTGTCATGTTGAAGATTTGAGGTGTTCTGGTTTTCTTTTCACTTGGCAAGGCCCCAAGTAGAACCATTTGGATAGAGTTTATAAAAAATTTGATAGAGTTTATGGTAACTTAAATTGGAGATTGTGTTTTGAAGACTCTGAGGTGTATGTTCTTCCGAGGATACATTCAAATCATACTCATCTTTTGTTGAAGATGTCTTCGTCTAGTAACTAGTGGCAAGAAAGGCCATTTAGATTTCTTGCCTCTTGGTTGATCTATCCTAATTTTTATTGTCTAGTGCGTGCTAAATGGAATAAGAACTTGGAGATCAGTCACATGCTAAGTTGTTTTGTACCCCATCTTCAAAGATGGAATAAGGAAGTGTAAGGAGATATTAATGTCAGAAAGGCAAAGCTAACTCAAGAGATTGCTAAAGTTCAGGCTAGAGGGATTTTTGCTGACTATCCCAGGCTACAAGAGCTGGAGACCTAACTTTAAAAAAGCTTAGATCTAACGCTGGAACATGAAGAATTACTTTGGTTTCAGAAATCCAGACATAGTTGGATTACATACGGGAATAAGAATACTCGCTTCTATCATTGGAGAACAATAATTAGAAGGAATGCCAAAAAAATTTCTAGGCTTCGCAATGATTATAATCAGTGGATAGAAGATCCAATTGAGCTCAAAGGCCTTATGTGAAATTACTACAAGAATCTTTTTAAGGAAGAGTCCTTTGATCGTAGGTGGCTTGCGTCCCCTAGTAATTGGGTTAGGTTTCCTCAAGATATCAGAGAGGATATGATTAAACCTCCAGGGGTTGAGGAAATGGCAAAACTCCTTCAATCTATGGGGGCATGCAAAGCCTCGGGTGTGGATGGTTTCCCAACATTTTTTTTTCAACGTCAACGAAAAATGGTTAAGTTCCAAGTCTTCAACGCTATTACCAGGATATGGACGAACTCAGATCTTGTTGCTGGGATCAATTCGACTCTGCTGGCCTTGATTCCTAAAACCAAGAATCTGGAGCTTATAAGCCAATTCAGGCCAATTTCCCTTTGTCCAGTTTTATACAAGCTTTTATCAAAGCTGATTGTGCAAAGATTAAAATTGTTGATGGAGAAAATTATCTCACCTTTCCAGGTTAGTTTCGTCCCAAACACACAAATCCAAGATAACATAATTATAGTTCAAAATTTGATTCATTCAATGCATAAGATGAAGGTAAGAAAATCTCGTATGGATGTTAAAATAGACTTGGTTAAAACCTGTGATATCTTGGGACTTTTTGAGACACACTTTAGTTGAAGCAATTTTTTCGGATCACATTATCAAGCTTATAATGAACTATTTGTAGACTTCTAAGATAAATGTGCTTTGGAATGGTGGTAAGACAGAATACTTTAAGCCATCTAGAGGTATCTGCCAAGATGACCCTCTTTCTCCGTACCTTTTTGTCATTGCAATGGAGAAGCACACGCATATTATCTCCACTGCTATGCATGAAGGTTTGTGGAAACCAATTCGAGTTGAGAAAAGCAGTCCATAAATCACCTACTTAGCTTTCGCTGATGACTTGATGATCTTTATGGAAGCATCTGAGACACAATATGATTGTTTAATGAAGTGCCTTACCCTCTTTGAAGAAGCATCGAGTCAAAAATTAAGTGTAGTGAAGACTACTGTGTTTTTCTCTAAAAATACAAATGAGGAAGTGGTTAGGAAAATTGTGCAGAAGAGTGGCTTTAAGCATGTTAAAAATATGGGCCTTTATGTTGGCTCTATAATGCACACGACAGAGCATTGAAGGACCTCTAGCTAGAATAGTGGAAAAAGCTAAAGCTAAACTAGATTCTTAGCAGAAGCAATATTTATCTCAAGCGGGGCATGTCACTTTGGCGCAATCGATTGTGTCTTCTATTCTGTATTTTCAGATGCAGAGTTGTAAATTTCCATCATCAATTTGTATGGAGATTAAAAGAACAAAAATGAGGTTTATTTGGGGGGATAAGGATATTAGTAGAAGTCATCACCTGATTAGCTGGAACACGATCACTATGCCTAAGAAGGATGATGGTTTGGGTTTGAAAAGACTTAAGTTTATGAATGATGCCTTCCTTGCTAAAAGGGCTTGGAAGTTTTTCTCGAACACTAATAATCCATGGGCTAATGTTATAAAGGCTAAGTATATGGCTAATGTTACCAGAGGGGGTCAGTTTGTAGCTCGTAGTGGTGATTCAGCTCTTTGGAGAAACTTATGTAGAGTGTGGAAGGATTTGGAGGGTAGGATCATTTGGGAGTTGGGTAATGGTAGGAGCATTAATTTTTGGAAGGATAAATGGTTGTTCCCCAACCAATCCTTGCAGGAATATGCTATCAGGTGGGATCCTAACATTGAATTAAATAGGAAAGTTGCGGACATGTTGAACCCGAATGGAAATTGGGACTTTGGCTTCCTTAGCTAATGGTTTCTTGATAAAGTGTTGGGTATTATTCAAAGAACCCTTCCCCCTTTAGAGATGGATGACATGGATAGGAAAACTTGGGATTTTATTGATGTGAGCACCGTTACAGTTAAAGAAGTTTATGACACTTTGATGAGTCAAAATGATATTGTGGGGAACAAAAGCAACTTATGGAATGCCATGTGGAAATAGAAGGGCCCATGACAAATTTTTTGATGTGGAAGGTCATGCACTATATAGACTGCTTACCAGAAGTAGAGTGGCTCAATGGGATGGTGGGGATGATATTTGTCTCATTTGTAAGAATGAAAGGGAAACTATAATCCATGCTATTAGGGATTGTGTACAAGTAAAGATATTATGGCTAAAACTTGTGCTAAATGACTATTTATCTGAATTTTTCATTGGTGACTTAAACCAATGTATTAGGATGAATTTTGATTCGATGTTTGGGGACAACACAGGTGGTAGCTGGCTTTCTATTTTCTTTCTAATATGTTGGAAAGTTTGGAATTAGCAGAATGAAGTATGGGGCAACCATGGTCCCGGTGCACGTTAGAGAAACCATGGTCCAGAACCTAATTAAAGAAGTTGATGAAGCTACTAATTATTTGAGGAGCAGAAGTGAAGATAGAAGGACAATGATCATCAATGTTGCTTGGCAATTTCCTCAAGCTAGAGTCATTAAGATGAATACTAATGGGGCAGCTAAGGGTAATCTTGGCCTAACTGCCTATGGAGGCTTGATGCGGGATACTCATGGAAATTGGCTTAGTGGATTTGGCTTCAAATTTGGTATTTGTTCTTCATTCAAGGCTGAGTTTTGGGGGGTGTTACGGGGTTTGGAGTTGCTTTGGAATGTAGGATATCAAAATGTGATTATTGAAAGTGATTCATCTAGTTTGATCACTGTGCTCATTAGTCCTGGTGTAGCAGTACGTGAGGGGCAACTAGTCTTTCGTATACGGACATAGATACAAAGGGATTGGACTATGGCTTTCTCTCATATTTATAAAGAGGGGAATACGTGTGCTGACTGGTTAGCAAACCACATCCTAGACTCTAATGATCAGCTAGTGCAATGCATTTGGTGGGATCTTCCATCTGGCATCCATCTCTTACTGCTTGCGGATTTTACAGTTGTAGAAAGACCTAGGCCTTTGGTTTGCAGTAATTAGTTTAGTTTAGTTTTTTTATTTTGTTTTGGCTTAGGCCTTTTGTCTATAAAAAAAAAAATTGTGTCCAAAATTTTGTGTGTGCATTGCATAAGTTTTCTTTCATGTTTTAACTGTTTGATCATTTGATCTTTTAAAAAAAATAAAATTTATCATCTTTTTCATTTCTTAAACTATATATTAATATGTTTCTCTTCTTTTTTTAGTAGACATATGTATCTCTTCTTCTTCTTTTTTGGTGAATGATACGTATCTCTTCTTAAATTATATATCAATATATCCCTATTTGATTAAAATTTGACCAAATCCTAATTGTTGATAAGTCACTTACTGAGCAAGTATGGGTCAAACTTTGGTCAAAGATGACCATATTAATATATAATTTGAAAATAATAATAAAATGATATTTTTTTATTAAAATAGAAACAAAATGATTAATTTAACCTAATTTTCAACAAATGAATTCACAGTGTAGTTTAAAACAAAAAATTGAAATTCCACGAAACATCAGCTCGGCTTCCATTAAACGATAAAATAAAAAAATCAAAGTATGAACTGATTGAATACTAAAAAAAAAAGAAAAAAACAAACTTATTATCATCCACACCTAGCCTCACCTAAAATATAATCCTCACTCTTTGGAAAATAAACAATCAGAAGAACATTCTCCCACTTCCACTTCTTCCATTACTACCCTCGCGTTGTTGGCATCCTTAGTTGAGCTCGTCGAACCGGACCTAAACAAAAACGGCGGGGTCCACGTGAACCCCCACCGGTCCGGCCGAACCTCCCCGCCGAACCGCTCATACTGCATATAGCTCCTCCCTGTGCTTCTCGTCCTGTAACCTCTCCTTCCACTACTCTCTCGCTGCAATGTCACGCCGCAACTCTTCGTTCGGTTCAACGTGGCTGAATTCACCAGCAGGTTCCGCACTTGCTCGGGCAACCTCAGCGTGAACCGCTCGCAATCCTCCCCCGGTCGAACCAGCGAGTGACCCGTCGAGTGAGAACGTGGGAACAATCTCGCAATTCCAAATCCTGTTGACCTAGACCGAACCGGACGGCTCTGATCACCTAAATTCTCCCTCGGAGACTCTGTTGTTATTACTCTGTTTGGCCCATCGTCATCGACCCGGGTAATAACATTCGGGTCATTTACGGATTCCGGGTCGGGTCGAACATGATCTGGTACCTGGACTGCGACGGAAGAAAAGCTGTCCCCGGGTTTGGGTACGAGGTTGGCCCGACAAACTGGGCAGGTGGAGTGAGTGAGCAACCAGACGTCGATGCAATCGGGGTGGAACACGTGGCTGCATTTAGGGAGCAAACGCAGCGTTTCATCGTCGTGGAACTCATTGAGGCACACGGCGCATTCGAGCGTGGTCCTCCCTATCTTGAGAGCCTTCACTTCGGAGTATACGAAGGTGGGGAAGGTGTCGATGATCGCCTTGCCGAGGCCTCGCGGTGGCCGGAGTTCGCTTCCTCCGATGATGGGGATGGATAGGTCAAACCTGCCACCAATCCTTCGCTCAACACATTGGCGAGTGTATATTGAGATTAAGCCCAAGATGAAGAACACCACGACGAGGATCACAAGGACTACACCCATGGTTTTGTCGAACCTCAGTCTCGCGAATGGGCCTGGCAGTGGCGGTGACGGAGGAAGCGCCTGTGCCATGGTTGGCGGCACGAGAAAAAGAAAAAGAAAAAGAAAAAGAAGAGGAAACAAAGCACGGCCATAATCAAAATTCGGCAGTTCTGCGAGTGTGAGAGGAGTGGTGGGAGCAGGTGCAGGAGACTCCGTGTGGATGCTCATAGCTGATCATAAGTGTGCGGTGCAGTTTGATTTTGCTGCCTGTGCAAGGAAAGAATGTTTTCTGTCATGAAACGTAATTAATACATACCATGCGTGTTATTTTTGTTCTTTAAGATTCCGATGTAAGAATTTAAGAATATTAATGATTCTGCTTGCTACAAAAAGAGACACGCAAAGGCAAAAAGGTTGGGCGTTAAGAATAATTACATAATAGAGAACTGGACCACTTTTGATGGGGATGAGAATGGTGGAAGGAAATAAAGATATAAACAGGATAGCGTAATTAGGATGTTAAGGGCTATTATTATTTTGATAGGGTTGTTTTCGATAAGAGTAGTGGACTTTGCTCTCTGCTGCTCTGCTAAAGACAGGGGAGAGGAGGAGGAGGGGCAGGCACGATAGGTAGACTTAAAATGATTGGGTTTTGGATTTTGACTTCTCAGTTCTGAATGGGCCCGCAAGCGATGTTTACATCTTACAAGTTTACAACCACAAATGATACACATCAATTCTTAAGTGATAGTAAGCTACTAAGACTCAAATCACAATTTACTGTGCTACCGCTTGTGGAAACGGGGCTCATATATACAGGCTAGGGGTTAATTGTTTTTCATGTTTTTTTTGTGAATAAATACAAAATTATGTTAGATGATGCAATATAACTTTCTTACCCATATAAATTTATATGAGCCCCATCTCTTTATTTTTTTCTCTCGTCTCTCTTGTGAATTATATGTGTTGAAAAATTATGTTACATCATCTGAGAGAACTTTTGATTTCCCTGTTTCTATACTTACTCGAATTTTCGCTGTATTGTGTAATGCCAAGTTTGCGTACTTACTTGTACATTTGTCGTTATGCATCTTCGTCATTTTTTTTCTTGCCTCTAATGTGGCGGATTCATCACCACTGCTTTGAGAAACTAGTATATGGATTACTTTAGCTTCTAGAATTATGCCTTCTACTTATATATATATATATATATATATAACTGAGCTTCTTTGATACAATGAGAGTATTGAGAGATTTGAACTTAATTATGATCTTATGTAAACTATCCAAACCCTTCACTACTAAACCAATCCTAATAACTTAGAATTGGGCTTCTTAATTTGTTTGTTTTTGTTGTCTGCATCTCTTACAACAAATTCAACACTCCGAATTACCAACACTCCGAATTACTATTAAACAAATCCTAATGACTTGTGACTGCGCTTCTTAATTAGTTAGTTTTTTTGGCCTGCATCTCCGCCAACAAATTCAACACTCCGAATTTTATAATAAGGGGTGGATTAATTGCAATTTGAATTCAGATTCCCGTCACACGAAGGCACTTGATTTCCCGAATTTCAAATTGAATTCACTGCAGGTGAATACAATTGCAAGTGATTCAGTGATGAACAGCTTCTACCAGGCAATGGAACTTCTTTTTCTTCTCTTTTTATTAGACATGCGGAAAGTTAATTCACATTCTTGTCTTGTGCTGCATAAATTCGGTGTTTCCTCGAAGTTATCCAACAAATTCAACTCTATTTTAAGGGCTGGTTTACAATTTACCCGGTCTATTCGGTGTTTCTAATGTGAAATGTTGTACGACACATGGCGAATAATCTTCACGTGTGACCAATAAATTTTTTGATTTGATCCCTTAAATGGAGAAAAGGGGAATCAACTCTCTCTTTCTCTTTCTGAAGTGAATTAATCCAACCTAATCTATGTCCACCCTTAACAAGTACTAAGACAAGAATATAAAATCTCGAAAGGAGTGAAATTTTTAATTATATTTAAATCTTGGATATTATCATTCGTAGTAGTCTTGCACAATTAATTCGTGGGAAATGGCGGAAATCTCCCGCTTAAGGAATATGGAATAATCTGAGATTGCGAAAGCAATCATATCTCATGCTCATTGCTCATCCACTCGTCCGTATATATCTAGTCTAACTTGCCATTTGTATCGAAAAGTCCACAGCTGCGTGATTGATTCGACCATCATACGAGCAGCTTATATTAAGAAGCACTCATCATTATATATTAAGCTACTAATTAGGCAAATAAGATATACGAAAGAATCATGTTATCGGAATGATATTACTTATTCATGTAATTATTTTTTAACTATGTATTTCTGAGAGTATATAGTTAAAAAAAATAATTTTAATATTATATTTATGTACTACCGAAAATACATAATTAAAAATGAGTTGCAAGATATCCTGTAATAGGACATCCGATACAATCATATTTCGTTTGAACAAAATCATAAGCCATCAAGTTCAAGCACATAGGTAAATAATGTAGTAACGAGAATACATTGATGAAGCAAATCCCGTACTGTGATTTCTTAACAGCAACGCCATAATAGATAGTATATATCATATGCCTATCCATAGATGATACCTTCTGAAGAAAATAAAGTATTCCTTGTTTCTCAGATTTTTTTTTTTCTTTTGCCCTTTTTATTCGTTGGTCTTAACTTTAAGAACCATATAATATTATCAATTTTATTGCAATTATTATGTCAAACTACAAACCTATTTGGACTTGTATTATTTCTCTCTTCCTTTGGGCCGATTAAGTGACAATGTTGCGTTCTAAGTAATGGACAGGCGATTATGATCCTGTATGTTTCCTTTCCCATCGTTTTCCTTTTTCAGTAGTCAAACGGAAGAAGGAACAAAAAAAAAGCCCATGATACTTGTGGAAGCTATTCTATTTATGGGGAAAGCCCGATTGCATAGAAACTTTTTTTTTTTCTTTGGTAGGGATTGCATAGAGATTTTTGGTGTTTGAATACTGTTTTTAAAAATAATATTTTGGTTTTTAAAATAAAAAAACTCGTTTAATAAGACTTATTTTTGTATTTTTTTTAAAAAAATTGAAATTGTTTTTAAAATCAAATTTAAAAATATATATGAATTGTTTTTGTTTGTGTTTTGGCTTTTAACTTTGACGGTGATATATATAAAAAAAAAAAGAATTAAGATAAAATCACATAAACAATTCTTAATTATTACAAGTTACCAATTTGATGGTGATATATAAAAAAAAGAAGGCATTGTAACTGTACCGCTTTAAGCACAATCACATGGTATCTTACTAAAAAAAATCAATTAGGTGCCTAGTTCTACTGGCTTGGGAATCTAGATCAATTGCGGAAGAAAAAATGGAGAACAGAAAAAAAAAAAAAAGGGCTTGTTTGGAACTATTTGGGTTGCTTACGTATTGTAGTTAGCAGTTCTTGACCATTAAATAGCCAAAAATATATATTGACAATTGATATTTATTTATAGAGAAAAGTGTTTGTCATTTTAAATGACATGAAATTATTTTATTTTAAGAGAGATAGATACAAAAAAAATTTTATTTAAAATTTAAATTAAAAAAAAAATCACTCACTTTCTCCCTCCATAATTTTTATTTTTTGTTTATCTCTTTCCTAAAATGACATAACTTATGTCATTTAAAATGACAAACATTAAACCCTTTATTTATAACACTAAATATGTCGTTAACAAAATAAATAGCAACGCACACAGTAAAATTAGCAATAAAATAAATAAATATTTTTATTTTCCCAGACTTTGTCTTTCCAGTAAACTTTCCAAAAAGAAAAAAAAAACAGCATCTATACTTCCAGTTCGTCACCTATCATCATAATCAATCTTTGGATTGTTTAGAGTTTTTAAAATCACAACAAACTAACAAAAGCATATTGGCCTCCTATCTTTTTCAAAATTCATCCTACCTTGTACGTCTATTTATTCTTTTTAGTAAAATAAATTAAATCAGTGATTTAAGATTTATATAAGGAAAGAAGGGAGTCATTTTAGATAGACACGAAAGTATGCCATGGAGAAGTACTAGCTAGCCAATGGAAACCTCAAGTCATTTTATATTGATTTGATAAGGGAGAATAAAGATTTAGACAAGAAAAAAAAAACTCAGGTTTATATATGTTGGCAATGCTATTCTGAGCTACCGAAAGATAAGTAACAATGACATTGATCAATAGATCAAGAGAGAAATCCACAAAGATAGTCGCGTTCTATATATTATATATAACCCCTCGAGCAAATGCACGGTCAAAGCCTAGTGAGCTAGCCATGTTCAATATCATTTTAACGTTTTCTATGTTTGCCCTTGGCCTTGGGTTTGTACCATTAATACTTCACCAGTTCAGATAAGTAACATTGGCTATGCACAACTAAGAGAAGCCAAATCTAGCTTGGCTTCCCAAACACATGAGAAATTAATTTTTTTTAAAAAATATACGCTGGAAATACCGAAGTTATTCAATTGCCATTATTTGGTTGGCAAAAGCCCATGTTTTCTACGAAAACCACCAATTAAACACAAATACAATAATAAAACCATAAAACCTATTAGTATTAGACAGATTTTTATTTATTTATTTATTTCTCAAAACGATTAATAATTAATTAAAACAAAAGCACATGCATTCACGCAACTCTGGTTCCACCTTTGCCACCAATGTATGTGTGCTTTGGTATTATTGCTAGCTCTATTCTTTTAGCAAAATAAAGGATATAATTAATGAATGACATGCATGCAAACGTATGATTCATAAAAAACAATATTAAGCAAATGAGCATCCAAAAGGAGAGTCCTCTCAGACTCAGGCGTTTTGATAATCATGGCAATGCGTGGCTTGTTCTTCTTCTCATACAAATCTCACCGCCGGCAACCGCTCAGACGGCAGCACCACCAGTGGACCCCAACAACAATAAATCCGTGGCGGCCATCATGGGGATCGTGGCCTTTATGTTCCTCATCTCAGGTTTGCTTTCACTCTACTCTCGTAAATGTGGTGACCGGCGAGGACAAATCCGAGGCAGGATAGACCTCACTCTTCCCACCGGAGGAAGCGGTCGCCGGTCGCAAAACGAGCCTCGCGGTCTCAACCAAGAAGTCATAGATACCTTCCCGACGTTCCTCTACTCAAACGTGAAGGATCTCAAGATTGGGAAAGGAACCTTGGCATGCGCCGTGTGCTTGAATGAGTTCCAAGACGATGAAACCCTGCGCATGATCCCAAAGTGTAGCCACGTTTACCACCCAACTTGCATCGATGTTTGGTTGTCCTCTCACTCCACTTGCCCAGTTTGCCGTGCAAACCTTGTTCCAAAACCCGATGACAACAACAACAACAACAACAACATGTGCATGCCTCCGATGGTGTCCATTCAGATTCCGGATGATCATGATTATGATCACGAGCAGCAGCACCACCTAAACGCTGAAGAGAACACTGGAGAGGATCAGAAGAGAGAAAACAACGTCGATTTGGAATCACCAAATGTTGATTTTCTTCGTAGGAGTCGAACGATGAATTACCAGAACCGTCCAACACGGTCGAGGTCAACAGGATTCTTATTTGCTCTCTTGTTTCCGCGGTCAAACTCAACTGGTTCGGTGTTGTTACAGCCTGGTGAGAACTGTGAAAGGTTTACTCTGAGGTTACCTGATGAGGTTCGAAGCCAGATGCTGAACTCAACGTTAAAACGCACGAATAGCTGCGTCAGTTTTACGAGTATGAGCAGTGGGACGAGGGGTTATAGGACAAGAAGCGTTGGGAGTGGACGTGGGTTTGGGTGTGAGGAGCATTGGGGTTTCACTTTGACGCCACCGTTTATTAGGAACAGTTGTAATAGATCGGCTAGAAAATCACCTGTTCAGTGTTCATCAGGAGTTGCTTTGGACAATAATGTTGGTGAGAGATCCTCTGATCTCTTGTGTCCTGGGTAGCTTTTCATACTCCAATGTTGCAGAAGTGGATCATTATTCCAACACACGTTTGATAAGTATAGGCAATTAATAACTAAATGTGTTTCATTTACGATTATGTTTATTATTTGTGAAATTATCTTTATTAGTTACCTGTAAAGCAGTCTTTAATTTATATCCTTTGCAATAGATACTCATATCATGTGTATTATTATGTATACTGTTTTACATTAATGAGAAAATACACGACTTTTTTTCCAACTTTGACATGGGATTCGATCTTAATTATGAGACCTTGAAACATCAATGACCTCTTCTACATCAGATTCCTGTCTCCCCTCAATTTCTCTGCCACTTCATCAGCTTCAATGAAGCCCAATCACGCTTCCCTTAGTCTATAAAAAATTATCCAGTGATCAAGTCAATTCGGGAGTACATTGCAGCTCAAAAAAGGAGACTTATCTATTCATGCTTATCTTCAAAAGGATAAAACCATATATGATTCCCTTCGATACATAGGCTACCAAATCACAAAATCTGAGTCCGTTCTTTAAATTCTAGAAGGATTACGCCCTTAATATGAAAACGTTGTCATCTGGTCTCAAATCAAACCTCTCTCCTCTATATGTAACCTTTCGCAATTCTCTCCACCAATTCAAGAAATTAAACCGTATTTCTATGTATAACAATACCACTCCACCAACTGCAAAACAAACCCCTGCACACCCACTTATCAAGCATGAGTCCTTTACCACCTCATCCTTCTGGTTTTACTCATCCCACTTATCATCGTCATGTTTGCAACAAAGAGCATTGTATGGTCTCAAATAAGCCTTAAAGGGCTTGGTTTCAATAATTTGATTTCATTCTCCGAAGTCTAGGATTCACTTACAGTTGCTCTGACTCCTATATGTTTTTTTTAGTAAGACAAATACTGGTATTGTGATTTTCCTCTAATCTGAGGATGATATTCTCCCTTACCACTTCTTCATCAACATGAGTCACACGGGTCATTTCTTTTTCTCTGTCAGGAAAATCTGCACAATATATTTACAAACAAACCACAAACTTGACATATTTTTTTTAACCCAAAACTTGAAGGTAGTAGGGTCATGAATTCATGGTTAATTACTTCTGAGTTCTGATTACAAATTGTTCCCTTTGTCTATCCATTTTCAATATGATATTTCTCTTACTTCTTTAAACTCATTTAATTCCCAACAAATTCCTTATCTAATATATAGGCTAAAGCACCCTTCTAAGATTGTGAGGCAAAATATTGCCAAGCTTATTAGATAAATTTCTCCAAACTAATGCAGTCAAACACGTAACTAAAACTGACGCGACGTCAGTGATGTCATATCAGTGTTACGTAAGCAGTCTCGTTATCCTAAAACTTCGAAAAACCATAACTTTTGACTTGGGTATTCAAATTAGATGATTTTTTTTATTTCACATAATTTTTCGTGATCTATGCAATGACATCTCATTAATTTGACATATTTTATCTCCCACAAACATAGTTTGAATTTATAACAATGGTTCTACAATCACAAGAGCATGTAAACCCCGAAGCTCTTAAGTTTTTTCCGAACAAAAACCACGAGCTGTAGCACGTGTCATCGATCTCTTGGCCTAGTTTTCCAACTGTTAGCCTCTGAGCCAACGATTTTTTCAGCAACAAGATCAATAATTTAGGGCTTTCCGTAAGAGGAAACTTTGTTATCCGTTGTTGCTTGTGCGCATTGATGGAGAGAAAACCATTGTCATTATGTATTATTGTTGGATATTTGAAAAATAAGAAAGAGAATTAAATAGCGTAATTCATATAGATAAAACGTGTCAATCGATGGCTTGTGCCATAACTCATGGTGTTGGTTTGGAAAAAACTCGGGAGCTTCTGGATTTAAATGTTTGTAAGATTGTGGTACCATTGTTATAAATTCAAACTATATTTGTGGGTGATAAAATATGCCAAATGAGGTGTCATTGCTTAGATCTCGAACATTTATTTGAAATAAAAAAATCATCTGATTTGGATACCCGAGTCAAAAGTTATGGCATTCCGAAGATTTACAGTAACGAGACTGCCTACGTGGTGCTGACATGGCATCCGTGCCGTCAGAATCATTGATGAGACTAAACCCGTCAGTACTAAAATTACATTTGACTGCATTAATTTAGAAAAGTTTATCCAATTAATTTTAACTGAATAATTCTTTTTGCAGTCAATTTAGAATGGTACTTTTCCCCTAATATAGACCATTAAAAATCTAAATTTTGGCTGCAGTTATTTTTCTTTTTAATTTTAATTTTTAATTTTTTTTTGTATTTTTGTATTTTTTGTATTTTTGTAATGGCTGCAATTACTTTAGGTAATAAAGTTTGAATGGATTTCTCCCGTAAAGGTTTTCGCTGATTATGAGATGGGAAAAGTTATTCTCATGTTATATGAGATAAATTTTTCTTTCTACACACTTTTTGATAATTGTGTCGTCTTTTTATTTTTTTATTTTTTCAGGTGGTGGAACCCACAAATTTATCTCTATGACATGAAATTAATAACTCATCTCCTTTAACATGAAATTAATAAAACCTTTATGAGATTTAATTTGATCATAGAATCATTATTTGAGTCGGAGCATTCATTTTGGGAGGTATGCTTTTTACGGTATTAATTGTTTTAGCGGCAGGTCAGTGTTATGAGTCATAACACTAACTTTTAATTAACTAATTTTTTTTTCTTGTTTATAGTTTTTTTTTTCTTGGGATGTTCAAGGGACTTTGGGAACAATATGAACTAAATTAATCAGTTTTATTTGATGCCAATGTAAAATTAATTTACCCTAACAAGACATATTAACTAAATTCTTTTATTTAACTTATTCTCAAATACACATGCGTCACTTTTAATTATTTTCCAAATAACTCAATAATATATTGTTTAAAATAATAAACAATCGAACTATTTAAAAAAAATAATGAGTATGTGGGAATAAAAAAACACATCCCACATATGGCAAAAATATGATGGAGCCAGGAAGTTTTATGGGAGAGCCCAAATTATACATACACACATATATATATATATATATATATATATATATATATATATTAAAAATTATAGATAAAAGAAAAAAGTTATATTATTAAATTTTAATATTACATAACATAAAAACTTAAAAAGAATTATATTATGAAAATTAAAATTATATTACTTAATTCCTGCTTTACGTTGTTTTACAATATTGAATTTTTCTATTGTTAAATCTGTGTTCATAATAATTTCCTTTTTATGTAATCAATCAATCGTACGTGAAGAAATAAAATAGACGAACTATTAAGATGGATTATTTGTATAGCTTGCTAGATGGAAATGCACTATTTCAATGTGTTTCTTAATTTTCTTCTTTTCATTTTTCGAAAAATATTTTTCTCTGTCTCATAATAGTTATTGGGAAATCATTGTCTTATTTTACATGAGATAACTATATTATGTTTCTCTCACATAAAAAGTTGTGACGTCACTTTTTTTTTTTTTTTTTTAATAAATGATGGACGCCACCACATTATGTGTCTATGATAGGAGATACTTATCTCTAACAACATGAGAAAAATAGAACCCATAGTTATTTACATATTTTGAACTAGGGATTAATTTTTAAACCTTTGATATGATAAAGATTATTTTTACCACTTAGCATTTTACCTTTAAATTTATTTTATATGATAAATATTGATTTTGGGAAATCATTTGCTCATGAAAGAGGAGATTATTTTTTTATGTTGTAAGGTACTGAAATCCGTGTTATCCTTTTTTTAACAAATGGTAGCCTCACACTTGTTGTGTCTATGGCAAGAGAGATACTACATCATGTGACATGAGAAAAGAGAAGCTCATTGATTTTTATTGCTACATATTAACTTAAATTATTTTGAGAGCGCGTTTGTTTTAAATTAATTAATAGAAAATTTACTTTTTTATTCAAAAAAGAATTTAATGTTTCTTATGTTATAGAAAATAAATTTATCTTCTACACACATATAAAAGTGTGTAGGATTCATGTGTGTCCATGTGAGGAGAAGAGAGATAAAAAAATATGGGCCACATATACTTATAGGTATGTATAGAAGATAAATTTGTTTTCTACAACTTGAGAAACAATGAACCCTTAAAAGAAGCAACCAGGATTGGTATGGTAGTGACCGGTTCAGATAGTTTGTATTAAGTTATGTGTTCAATTCTCGTATTTGTACCTAAGAAAAAAATAAACCCTTAAAAGAATGAGAAATCATACTCTTATGTTGCTGGGAAAAAATTATCTTATGTCATCCATTATAACTATGTACTCCGGGGAGTACATAGTTATAATAATAATTTTTCTTTCTTTCTCTTTAGAAGTTGTCGGATGACGTGAACAGAGAGCAAAAAATAATTTTCATATTATAATATATACTCCCCGGAAACGAGTGAGATAATATAACTTTTTTTCCAACAATATAAAAAAAGATAGCAAATACCCTTTTTCGTCCCTGGCAATTTTCACGAGGCACATTTTAGTCCCGAACAATTAAAAAGGCTCATTTTAGTCCCTAATATTTTAAAAAAGTGGTCACGTTCGTCCTTCCGTTAGTTGGCATCTGACGGCCCAACTAACGGAGCACACGTGGTCCGTTACTTTGCTGAGTCACCGTTAAGTATGCCAGCGAGGAAGTAATACGACGTCGTTTTGAACATGTCTTATGTCTTGTTGGAGTTTTGGAAAGCTGAAGGTCCTATTTGGTCCCTGACAAATTTATCGAGGTCCTATTTGGTCCTTAACACTAAAAAGCCACCATTGCAGCAAACATTTCAAACCATCATTGCAGCAAACCTTTCAATCCATCTTGAGTTCCCACCCTAGAGACATCAAATGAAGCAATTTTAACAGATAAAGAAAACACAAAACAAATGAACATATAACAAATGTGATTATAAAACCAATAACGTAAATGCAAGGAAAAACATTCAGCTTCTTATA